AGATCTTTCAACCTACTAGCAATTACCTTCGCATATAATTTTTTGTGTCTGTACTTAGAAGTGATATTGGCCTGTAACTGGTGCACTGAGATGTATCTTTTCCTTCTTTAGCTATTGCAATATGAGCTAAATAGTGATTTCTCCCCCATTTCCTGGTATTGCTGGTATTGCCTCTTGTGTTATTGGGTTTTTTAACATTGCCAATCTTTCTTCCTCTAGCCTGGGTAGTCCAGCTGTTTTTAGATATGTCTGAATTTTCTTTCTTCTATGGGAACCTTTTGATCCTTATTATTAACTGCATACAGCAAACAATAATATTTTTACACTAGTTGAATGTACATTTTAGTTGAATGTACGGTCTCTACCATTTTGTTTTCTAATCTTCTCAATATAATTTAAAGATTTTGTTTTTCCTTAATATCCTTGCTAAGATATTTTCCTGGTCTACTACCCCCCCCCCCCCCCTGTACCTTTCCTTCGCCACCATATTAAAATTACCCTTTTTGTCTCCTGATCCATTAAATCATTCAACTCTTCTCTTTTTAAATATAATTATTATTATTATACAAGATTTATATAGCAACAACAGTTTGCTCAGCGCTTTACAATATGTCTGTTCTTCTATTATGTTCTTGTTCTAATTTATATAATTCTTCTCTATTAATGTTTCATCTTGGTCTATCCGTTTCTTTTTTTTTTTTATCTGTTCCTGTCGCAATCAGTATACCCGTTTATAAATGTTTTATGAGCTTCCCATATCGTGGCCACTGAGACATCTTCAGTTTCATTTAGTTGAAAATATTGCTCTCTATTTTATTTTTCCTTCTACTTCCTGATCTTTCAATAGCATATCATTTCATTGCCAAGTGTTCAGATTTCTAGAATCTCCTTAGTTTTTAACTTCATTGTGACTGGGTTCATAGTCTGAGAGATATGTAATTTCAATCCTAGAATGAATCAATAACTCCAGTAATCTATGCACTATGAATATATAGTCCAATCTGGAGTAAAACATATAATCCCTTTTTCCTGGGTACTTAATCCTCCATACATCTAACAATTGACATTGATGTATTTTCCTTTTTAATGATTTTACATACAGTATTTACAACCTTTTCTCTGCACCCGGGACAAAGTATCCAACTGGAGATCCATGCAAAAAGGTTAAAATCCCCGGCCACAATCAGTTTTCCTTTCAATCCATCAATTTTCATTAACAAGCCTTCTAAATAGCCCATTGCATTCTTATTTGGACGATAAATATTTGCTAATGTACATTTCATGCCATTTCTCTTTCCATTCAGAAACAATTGAGTACTGACGTGATCCTTTTTTTATTTGCACTAACATACAATTTTGGGAACAAGCTTTCAGGGTATGTCCCCTTCTTCAAGGTCCAGGCAGTACTACTACATGCTCTTTCCATTCAAAAACAAATACCGTTCCTCTGGGTCCACCAACCTATCTTCTATAGTGAATCTCACATCTTTTGCCATCCCAATCGTAACCCCTTTAGCCCGTTTTGAAAACGAGTCCGCATAGAATTTTGTATCAATCCCTCTTACAGTTAAACCGTGAAGAGGGAGGATATTATATAATAGTATTAAAGCTCTGAACTTTTTGGACTAACCTTTTTTCTTTTTCGCACCCCTCAAGCCACCCCCCCATCTCCCCTCTCCCCCCCAATTCCTCGTGGTTCATTACGAACCCTTGAATCTGTTGTGGTTCCAACCCCACCCTTGACCCCTCTAAATGGGGTTGGACTATCTATGAATGCCTCCCACTCCCCCTTCCCTCCCTCTTGGGAAGTGGGTTTCTGAGCTTGTTCTGCCTCCCTGTCCCCCGCTGTTTAAAATTCTTCCTTCTCGTACCTCTTACATTTCATAGTAACCCTGCCCACTCTGACCACTCTCACCCCCCCCGCCCAGAGTCTCCCCCCAATTGGGAAGAGGGAGACTACAGACAGTGGTAAGAGGGATAGGGGAGACATCACGAAATGTGAAATGAGGGAAAAAACCCGGAAACCAATACCCTTAAAAAATATAATAGGAAGGGATGGTTTTCCTCTAAAATCTCTCAAATGTCATCAATCCTTTCTCCTTCACATTTCTCCCTATATTCCACCTCTGGTGTTATACTTCTATCTTCTTTCTTCTTACTTGACTCATTCTGTTGCATTCCTCTCTTTGGGATTGTATGCCATCTCTGCCTTTCCAAACCCCCTCCCTCCCTTCCCCGTCTGTCCAACCTGGGATGTCAGGAACTTGTAAATCCAGTCTCAGAAATCCTGTAGTTCTTCTTGAAATCTCAATCTAGTGGAATGTCCATCTTTCCATCCAATTAGGCATGCTGTAAATCCCCACTTGTATCGAATATTTTTGCTCGCATCTGTTCCACTAAAGGTCTTAACATTCTTCTTCTCGGCAGCGTTTCAGGTGCTATATCTGCATATATTTGCAGTTTCACTTCTCCAAATGTTATATCTGGCATCCCTCTCATTCTCTCCCAGAGTCTTATTTTATCTTCATAATAATGAAAGTGTACCATTACATCCCTTGATATTCCTGTAGCCACTTTTGGAGGGCTCTTTATCCTAGAAACTCTATCAATTTTCAGCTGATTCCTTATAGGTCTGTCTATTAATGGATTAAAAACTTTATTCATTACATCTCTCAGATCTTCTCCTTGGTTTCCTTCCGGTAACCCCCGAATCCTCAGGTTTTTCCTGTTTCTGTTCTCCTCATCTTCCATCCTATAAGACAGCCTCCTCTGTTCAAGTGGCATATCCTCCAATTTATTTTTGAGCTCTGTTATCATCTGGTCCTGTTCATCCAGTTTTTTCTCCATTTCTTCAATACATGACAGAACCTGCTCCATATCTTTATGTATTATTGCTATATAAAGTTCTAGTTTTACAAACATATCTGCTATTTATTTTTTTGTGGGCAGCAAAGTACAAGCTCCTTGTTCTCCTGCTTTCATTATTCCTAACTCTCTTTCCATGTTTAGGAAATCTTTGCCTTGATTTACCTCCATTATTTCAATTGATGAACTGGATTGGTCTCCACTGTTATTTACAGATATTTGTCCTCCTTCTATTCCCCATTGTCTCTCCAGGGTCTGACTCCCAGGACTTTTCTCCTGTGGAAGTAAATATATATTTTTAATTGTACGATTACTTGTTTTAGGAGTTTTTGCCCCTCCACTTTTTCCTTAGATACTCACCGCTCCATATGTTCCATCACTCTGCTGCTCTCCCAACCTGTTTGCTTGCTGCCTGAACTGTACTGTGTTGAGATGGCTGCAGGTACTTCTCTGTCATCCTCTTTGTGGGAGCTACAGGGGGTCTACCCAGCACTTTATCTGACTCTCCTTCCTGGCCGTGTCCTCCCAGAGTTCCATGCGGGCACCTTCCTTTCGCTTCTTGGCACCAGCTGTCACTCCCGTCTCCACTGCACGACCAGCACTGTCCCTACTTTACCGCACCAGGTAACCTCAGCAACATGCCTCCAGGAATGAGGGGTGGGGGGATGCCGAGCAATCTCAGGTACTCTCTCAGCATAGACACAACGTGCGCATCAGAGCTCCCATCACACACTCCCTGTTGGCACAATATTTAGGTCACACCCCCACTTCTCCCCTTCTTTCCCTCTTCTACCTTTTTTTTCCCCTTTCTTTTTTAATGCACATTTGACTCTATAGACACACCATCCATAGTACAATATTACATCAAACTCTAGGAGTTTATTTATATACACTGACTTTGATAGGTCAGATTACTTGTCCATAGGTTTACCACTTCTAGTATTTGTCACTTGTTTTTTGGAATATTACACTGAACTTGGAATAGTCTGTATTACAATGTACTAGTTTGATTAATATGTTTGAATTACCTATACCAGCACACAGTGTAGAATAATACAAACCTTTCCTTCACCTATCTCTCCAAATCCAAATGGACAATACAAGTACTTTCAAACCACCTAAATATTCCAAATCAATAATAAAAAATTAAAATAGATGAATAATAAATAATAAAACGTCCGAATGTATAAAGTCCAATCAAAACAAAAGTCCATCAAAAACAAATAAGTCCAGTATGTTGAACTTCCAATTCCTATTTCAATCCTCGTGATACCTCAAAAAAAAGAATACTATAATAGTGTACTACCTTCTAAATACCAAAATATTAAATTGTGTATAAATGTATCAGTGCAAACAGTAAATAAGTGCACCAAAATCAGAACAGATTCAACTGTGAATAACACATGAATCATGCAATCCATGAACAAGTTTATCTGGATATTCCTGGTAAATATACCACTTCCAAGCTTTCATTTACCGTATTTTTCGCTCCATAAGACGCACCTGACCATAAGACGCACCTAGGTTTTAGAGGGGAAAAACAAGAAAAAAAAATATTCTGAACCAATGGACTGCAGACACATTACAGGGGATGACCAGAGACTGCAGAGAGTGCAGGGAATGACCAGAGACTGCGGACACAGTACAGGAGATGACCAGAGACTGCGGACACAGTACAGGGGATGACCAGAGACTGCGGACACAGTACAGGGGGATGACCAGAGACTGCGGACATAGTACAGGGGATGACCAGAGACTGCGGACACAGTACAGGAGATGACCAGAGACTGCAGACAGTGCAGGGAATGACCAGAGACTGCAGACAGTACAGGGATGACCAGAGACTGCGGACAGTACAGGGATGACCAGAGACTGCGGACAGTGCAGGGAATGACCAGAGACTGCAGACAGTACAGGGAATGATCAGAGACTGCAGACAGTGCAGGGGATGACCAGAGACTGCAGACAGTGCAGGGAATGACCAGAGACTGCAGACAGTGCAGGGAATGACCAGAGACTGCAGACAGTGCAGGGAATGACCAGAGACTGCTGACCTTTGGGGAGGGAGGGGGAGCGGGTACCTGAATTTGACAGTTACCCGCTCCCACTTCCGCGGAGTTGTCCTTCCTTCCTTCTTCCCGGGCGGCTTCTGTGACAGCCGGGTGCCCACTGCGCATGCGCGAGAAGCGCTGCGCTTTGTGAATGGCTCGGCGCCTTCTGGGACCTGTTGTCAGGATCCAGGTGTTCTGCGGCATCGCGTCGGGCGGCGCATGCGCAGAACACCAACTCTCTCGGGGTTCGCGCATGCGCACTCGGGATCATGGACGCGCGCCTGGCACCAATGACAGCGGGAGGCGGGCTATTTAAACGTAGGAACAGGTATGTTAGTTGCCGTTTGGTCTTGTATCCTGTGTCCTGTATCCTCTTCCTGTGTTGCTGTATACTCCGTTGCCGACCTCTGCTTGTTCCTGATCCTGCTCTCTCCTGTTTAACCCCTGGCTTGCCTGACTACTCTTCCATCTGATCCCTGGTACTGTATTTGCCCGCATCCTGCTGAACCTGGCTTGTGACCTGACCATTCTTAGCTCACTCCTCTGTACCTCGCTGCCCGCATAATACCGACCCGGCCTGTCTGACCACGCATACCGTACCCGACCATCCATCCATCCGGTTTGGATCAGACCTGTGTATCTGTCTGGCTCTTCCAAAGTAGATTCCGTTCCTGCACTCCCCTGTCAGTATTCTCTACCACCGCAGGACGCACTTGGGGGTCGCGACCTGGTTTCAGTCTGCACCAAGTCCATCCCCACCATCAGGGGCCCTGGTGAACAGCAGGCTGGGACATAGACCCCGCTCCCTAGGAGCGTCCGTGCGGTGGGCTGCTAGAGACTCTGCCAGGCAGCGTAACACCTGTCATGTGTCCCAGAAGACACCGGATCATTCACAAAGTGCAGCACATGCGCAGTGGGCACCCGGCTGTCACAGAAGCCGGCGCGGGAAGACTGTGCAGCGCTGGAGCGAGGAACAGGTAAGGCCCTGCAGGAGAGAAGAGCTGAGCGGCCGGGCCCGGTATTCTGACATGGTGGCGGCAGAAATACCGGACCGGCCGCTTTATATTCGCTCCATAGGACGCACTGACATTTTCCCCTCTTTTTTGGGGGGAAAAAAGTGCGTCTTATGGAGCGAAAAATACGGTACTTCCTTTGCCAGTCCTCCATATTCCTCATAAAGCAAAAGGAGACTCATGTAACAAGTATTACCAAGTATAAGGATAATTTACTAAAATATCTTACATTAGGGTAACAAATTCAGCTAAATGCCAAACAAACCAGCCTCAATGTCTTTCAGGGTAAAGAAACCACGTTTTCCAATAGTCAAAATGGCCACAGCAACACTTCCGTATACTATTACTATAAGTATACTATTCTATATACTTTGAAGGGTGAAAGCGTCACTTTCTTTTATGGGGCGATTGTGGGGGGGGGGTTCACGTATTTAGGGTTATTGAGGTAAGTTTACTCACAACACACAGTGTAGTTCTTCAAACGCTGTCTTTTTGCCATGATTAGACACATTTGTTTGACTTTCTAAATTTGGCTGTGACCTCTGACAATCTTATTATGATGTGCACTTAATAAAAATTGTCAAATGCGAAAAAATACCCATGTCAGGAATCATTCTTATTAAATTCATTATTATGCTTATGTAGCAACTGATCCATTCATTATTGGTGTTTTAAAATTACATATGATTACATAAGATATAGATCCTATATAATTCATGTTGGATCTCTAAGAAATATCAATTAAATATCAAGATACTCATATCTTCTGAATTCAAGATTTGTCCATTCGAAACAACATTTCAGTTTAGAAGAAATCAATTCACATGTTTTTTTGTCAAATAATTTTGACTTTTAACAATACAAACATTTGAAAATAACCATTCAATATTGCAGTTTAGGTAAGATAATGATTTGGCAAGAATCATCAGACGTCAGAAGAAAAAAGGTAGCAAAGTGTACCATGGAGACCTCTCAAATTCAGGCTGTGATAATCAGTTCTATAAAATACTAGAGATTAGCAGAAATACCAGATTCAATGAGATAGAGAAAAGTGCCACCCAAATACACAAGGGTGATTTCAGACCTGATATATCCCATATTCTTGCAACTTTTCATTACCATTTTGCTCACACATACATACGTCTCTTTGTAACATAAAAGTACAGGTAACCAAAGTTATTTTAGGCTCACACTGTTACATTATCAACCAGATCTACACATGTGTACTATTTCTTTTGAAGGTAAGTTTTCCATGGAGACCAGTAGGACTAACATTGGGAAATTTTACCCTCTTTATATACTAGGATGTTTAATCTTCAGCTATTTTGTTTACTTGTCTAAGTGTTTCTCTAATACTAGGTTTTTCAATGGATTTATGCATAATTATCATACATGCAAGAGAAAGATTATATGCATGGCAATTGAATAGACTTGAGTTGGACAAAGAGTGACATGTTAATACTAAGTTTTGCCTGTTCTACATTTAGCTTAGTGAAAATTCCAGTGATTGTTGATATTAATTTGAAAATCTCAGACCAAAAACTGTGGAGGTGAAGACAGGACCAGACCATGTATACTAGGGTGCCCACTTGACCGCAATTTCTCCAACATAGGCTAGAGTTTGATGTAGAAAATTTGGCTACTATGTATCCGGTAAGATACCACCATAAGTGACGTTTTTGGGTTATTGCCCAGTACTTAGTGCAGTGTGAGTATTGGTAATTACATTTAATTGCTTGTGTCCATTGATGGTTTGAGAAGGTCTTTCCAAGTTCTTTTTCCCACTTTCTCAAAGGGGCGGTGCCCGGTGATTACCGAGGATCTCCGACAGGGAGGAGAGCTGCTTTGTTTAATAACAGTCCTCCTCCCTGTCGGCTCGGACACACTGCTCTGGATGGCTGTGCACAGCCCACACACCGACCCCCAGTAAAATACTCCCAGCACACAGTTAATCCTTTGGTCGCCCCTCATGTTAACCCCTTCCTGCCCAGTCCCATTAGTACAGTGTCAGTGCTTTTTTTTTTAGCACTGATCACTGTATTGGTGTCGCAGTGGATGTCAGTGACATAAAGTCAGTTCCCCCCAGCATCAGAATGCCTGCCGCAGTCTTGATACAAGTCACTGATCACCGCCACTAGTCGTAAAAAAAAAAAAAAAAATTCTAGTATTTATACCACCATTTGTAAATGCTATAACTTTCATGTAAACCAATTAATTTACACATATTTGGATTTTTTTTTTTTTTTTTTTTTTTTAGCAAAGACATGTAGCAGAATACATTTGGGACTAAATTTATAACGAAATTAGTTTTGCATTTTTTTTACTGGACATAATAGCAAAATATGTTTAATAGCAAAAAAGTAAAAAATATTGTTTTTTTTCAAAATGGTCTTTTTTTTATAGCGCAAAAAATAAAAAAAAACAACACAAAGGCGATTAAATACCACCGAAAGAAAGCTCAATTTGTGGGGAAAAAAAGGATGTAAATTTCATCTGGGTGCAATTACCACACAATTGTCAGTTAAAATAACACAATGCCGTAACGCAAAAATTGCCTGGTCGGGGGGGGTAAATCCTCAGGAGGGCAAATGGTTAATTGAATTCCCAGGTACCGTAAAGGGACTGATGACTAAGAATATGGCAAAGTAGATTGTAGGGTCTTTTGTAAGTGGCTATCAATTGCGATACCTAATATATTAGATTTGGAGGCATTAACTTTATAGTATGATATTTGACTAAATAATAATAAAAATTCATGTGCTGCTGGTAAGGAGAGGGCAGGTGTCAAGGTCCTACCTTTTTCCTGTGGTTATGTTACTTCATGTGCTGGTGTCCATCTTGGATTCTGCTGTGCATGATGGGAGCCCTTTTATGCCTTCAGGTTTCTGTGGTCCATCCTCCAGAGGGGTGTGGCTGATGACATATAAGCCTGTGGCCCGCACATGCTCTTTGCACTTGTGTCTTGTGTCTTTGTGTTGCTGTTACTCTGTTCTGACTCTCGTGACTCTCCTGGTATCTGATTCGGCTTGTCTTGACTATTCTTTGTATTCTCCTTTGATCTGACCCTCTGTTGCTGAACCCGGCTCGTGACCTGTGATTCTCGTCTGCTGTCCTGTACTGTTCTGTCCTGTTGTTGTTGACCCCGGCTTGTCTGACTACTCTTTTGTCTCTTCCACCAGCTACACGCCATTGGCGGCGGTGGCCATTACCGCAGCTGAGGTGTCTCGGGGGCCGCGACCTGGTTCCTGGCTGCGTCAAGTCCATCCCCACCATCAGGGGCCCTGGTGAAGGGCAGCCTGGGACTTAGACTCCGCGCCCTGAGGGACTTTGGTCTGTGGGTGGTGGTTGTCGTCAGCCAGTGCGTTACATTGTTAGGCCTGCCTCTCCGTTCCTCAGCTCCCTGCCCTGACATTACACAAGTGCCATGAACCCTGACGGTGCAGGCACGCCTTCGCTCCCAATGCTAGTCGCCAGACTCGATCAACAGGATCACCTGTTGGATCAGTTCGCTCAGGCGTTGCAAACTCTGCTTGCACGCACCGCGCACCTTACTCCTGGTGTTATTAGGCCGGTTGTCGCTCCGGTGGTCGCTTCCGCTGCCGTTCCGCTTGCTGTGCCTACCGCCGCGGCTGATGCGGCACCCGCGGTGTCCAGAGGTATGACCGGTTCAGCCCCTCTTCCACAGTGCTTTGGGGGTGAGCCGAGTCAGTGTCGTGGGTTCCTCAACCAGGTGGGTATTTATTTTGAATTAATACCCCACGCCTTTCCGTTTGAGAGGTCAAAGGTGGGGTTCCTCATCTCACTACTCTCAGACAAGGCCTTGGCCTGGGCAAATCCCTTATGGGAGAGGAACGACCCGGTGATTCAAGATTTTTCTGGTTTTGTCGATGCCTTCCGTAGGTATTCGACGTACCGGCTCGTTCCGCCTCGGCGGCCAAGCTGCTCATGACCATGCATCAGGGTTCACGGACCGTGGCCGAGTACGCTATAGAGTTTCGTACCCTGGCGGCAGAGGTCGGTTGGAACAATGAGGCTCTGGTGGCTGCGTTTTCCCATGGTCTTTCTGACTCATTGAAGGACGAGATTGCAGCTAAGGAACTGCCTGTGGTGTTGGAGGAGCTCATCTCTTTCCTGATCCTGATTGACACCAGGCTCAGGGAGAGGCCTTCACTCAAGGAACGCCTGCGGAGGCCTTCCAATCGACTGGCACCTGCGTTTTCTGTCCCACCCGTTCCTCCCTCCCTCCCACGCCTCCTGGGGATGGCTTGTCTGGTAAGGGGAACCCATGCAGCTGGGGTTTGCTCGCCTTTCCGAGGGGGCGGGGGCCGCTCGGCGTCGGGAGGGTCGCTGCCTGTACTGTGGCCTCGGTGGGCACTTTCGGCAGTCTTGTCCGGTCCGTCCGGGAAACGCTCGCACCTGAGATCATGTCGGGGACAGATCTTGGGTGGAGTTTCCTCGTCCCCCGGCGTCCCGCAAGGATAAGCCACTGATCACCGTGGTCCTTTCTTGGACAGGGGGCTCGGTGACGGCCCAGGCGTTGGTAGACTATGGGGCCGGTGGGTTGTTCTTGGACAGCTCGTTTGCTGCGCAGCACTCCCCCTGCAGGCTCGTGCTGCCCCATTGGTTCTCGAAGCAATAGATGGCAGGCCCCTGCAGCCGCCGCAGGTTACCCACGAGACCCTGCCAATAGAGGTAGCCATTGGGGCTGTTCACAGGGAGTTGGCCTGTTTTCAGGTGATTTCTTCCCCACACTATTCGGTGGTTTTGGGGTATCCCTGGCTCCAGAGGCACAATCCAACCTTCAATTGGCAAACAGCCGAGATTCTCTCATGGTCTCCACAGTGTGGGGCCGGGTGCATCCGGGGGGCCGGTTAAGGTATTGTGTGCCTCCTCGGACTCTGCGTTGCCCACCGACTATGGGGAATACCGGGACGTGTTCGATAAGGTACGCGCTGGTACCTTACCACCGCATCGTCCTTACGACTGCGCCATATCCCTGCAACCCGGGGCCACTCC